CGCTTTCAGTCTACGTAATAAATTCGTATAGCAAACAAACCAATGTGTATATACATTAAAGGAATCTTGCGCGGAAAAATCATGATTCTATTTCAGCCATAATCACTGGCTTGAGACTCATTATCCACGATAATAGTGAAAAGAACTGAAGTATTGCTTTCGTTTTGATTAGAAATTCGAAAACTCGAAAAGGCTGCTACGCGTTCGAATTGCCCACGGACGTCTTTCACGAATGCTGGCGACGGGGATGCTCAAACTTGGTTCTTGGAGTGCATTCACTAGAAGCTCTTTCTGGCCTTCTGCTTCGTTGCATTCACATCTTACACTTCTACTCCATCCTATTCCATCGATCGATTTGTCTCCACTCTCCGAAATCGCGCGCTTTAACCCGATTCTCTCATTGCGTCGCCTGGTACGTAGCCGGCCAAACGCCGTCTTCTTTCCATGCCTCGCCTGGCTCTGCCTCCTGGTCCTTCGATGGTCCATAACGTGTAGTTTTTGTACGTTTGTTTCTCTTCAGAAACCGAATCTTCATGCGTGAAACTTTGTGTGCTATTTCCAGTGATCACAACTGACATATTCATGTTAGGAAAGAGTGCAAGAATTTTCCGCGCAAGATTCCTTTAAGTCAAAAAAGGTTCGATAGCAGAGCACGGCTTACTAAAAAAGAATGTTTCTTTTGTGAGGCGGCCTTGTTTCCATCGAAAATCAATGAGAGACCTTTAGAGCTCTTGTAAACTCCATATCATGTGAAGACCTCTGAAGAAATTCTTGAGCTTGGCGTGAATTTGGTCCAGCTCTAGGCGAGATAGCGTTGTTCAACAGTTTTTGCGACCGCGTTTTGTAAGTTAGACAGCGTTTTCTAAAAGTTTTCTATCATACTGTCCCCTTAAAAAGTAAGATATTAGCGCAATAAAAAAGTTTGGCGAAACGGGAGTGAAGGGGGGGGGAAGTGAGAAATAATAGAAAAACATGAGGTGGAGTTATAATTTTGGGACGTCGGCTAAGTGGCCTTTCTAACAAAAATTATTAGAAAAAATTCCTGGGGTCTCAAGTTGGAAGTTGATGTTTATAGGTAATTTCGTATTTGTATTTACTACAATGCTACATTGCAGACTTTTTCTTATACATCTAATTTGTGAGATTTTGGGAAATAATTAGGTGGAGTTAAGACTTATGGACCGCACTGTAAAGTTTCCAAACTTTTGACCGGTTACTATATATTCGCCAGCCTGGATCGGCGTGTTGATCTTGAGCTTCAAACTATTAGACATTGATCATCGATCATAACAGTGCCAATTTTGACAGCTTCGATGAAAAAGGGTCTAGACGACCCCCTGCAATCTGTGCCCCAGTCCGACTTCCTATATATTGTGTAATGACCAATGTCCTACCATTGCTGCGACGCGTGTCACGAATTTTCTGGCACATACGCAGACAGATATAGCGTTGTATATATTGTGAGTGAACCACTGATCTAGTATGTGAATACACTAAGTACGTCTGCCTGTGTGTTCGCCAGATCAGGGCGATAGCGAACTACCCTCATTGCGAATGCAGAGGGAGGTGATGATTAAGGCCCTTTATGTTTCAATAAGGAAACAAACATTCGCGAATGGACCTTCACCCTCTGGTAAATCATCAGCTTCCCTACACTATTCGCAAAACTCTCATGCTTGGCTCTGAACACCCGATGATTCCAACCGTACAACGGACCACCACCTCTGCACCACGCAGACCGCTAACCATCTGCGTGTGATCAGTGTTGTTATTGGCAGCGACAGCGGGTGCTCGCTGGTTGGATATGGCTCGTGAATTGCCGGTAAAATTCATATTAACGTGTTTCACAGGTCTGGTGAGAATTTCCAAGCTTTTACTCTGCTTGCATCAAGTGCACCTCTAACACGTAAGGTTCAGCTAATGCTTATGCTAGTAGAGCGTTCAGAGAAAGTAGGATAACGAGGCTGGAGGCGCAGATGCCACGTTGACCTTCCGATGAAAAGTCTTCCGGTGGAGGGTCACCGTGATCTGCAAATCCATAATACCACGGACTTTCTCTTCTCTGCTTGAAGGCAGCGATTACGATAGATTCTGGAGTGCTGTAGATGGGACGTGGGGTGCTCATTAGTACGCCAATGGGGCAAGACATAAGAAATCCGTCAAGAAACGCAAAGTAGTCGCTACCTCCCATTTACTTCAGCCCCCATCTTAAACCCTTTTCGACCAAAGAAAGACAACAAATGCTAAAACATTCGCATCCAGTAAAAGCGAACCTTACTCCAGTCGGCTCCGATGCACCTTCATGGAAAACTCAGCCCGATTTTCGCAATGGTTTCTTGCCACAGATGATGCCTTCCACGTTTTCCACTCAAGAATCAACTTGGGATTCGTTCGCAAGCAAGAAACAATTGTTCCGTTGAGACATTAAGTTTCAAAGAAGATTCGATGGCAGAGCACGGCTTACTAAAAAAGGATGTTTCTTCTGTGACACGGCCTTTGTTTCTATCGAAAATCAATGAGAGACCTTTAGAGCTCTTCTAAACTCCATATCATGTAAGACCCTGAAGAAATTCTTGAGCTTGGCGTGAATTTGGTCCAAATCTGGCGAGAAAGCGTTGTTCAACAGCTGACCTTTTAAAAAGTCAGACAGCATTTTCTATCATACTGTCCCCTTGAGAAGTAAGATATTAGCACAATAAAAAAGTTTGGCGAAACGGAAGTGAAAAATAATAGAAAAACATGAGGTGGAGTTATAATTTTGGGACGTCGGCTAAGTGGCCTTTTAACAAAAATTATTAGAAAAAATTCCTGGGATCTCAAGTTGGAAGTTGATGTTTATAGGGAATTTCGTATTTGTATTTACACACTGCCACATTGGAGACTTTTTCTAAAACATCTAAATTTGTGAGATTTTGGGAAATTCTTAGGTGGAGTTATAATTATGGGACGCAGTGTATTTTTGATCTAGTGTAGCCGTAGACAAGCAATTGCCCCGAATTCACATATCATATACAGAATCAAGTGTAGATTACGATGGGTAACATGATTTTTTGAAAACTAAAATCGCATTTGAAAAATACGAATTTTTATAAAGAAATGGCGCGTCAAAAGTTTGGAAACTTCCGAATTCCAAAGCGAATTCGGCAAAATAGCTCTCAATCCACATGATAAATTAGTTATTCGATGAGTAGCTTTGAATTTCTATGTTAGCGTCGTTTTTATTGACATGGAGTTGATTATAAAATAATTTTAGGACTTTTAAGTCGAACCCTACACACTGTGAACTAAATCACATTGTTTGGTGGGATTCTTAACTGGAATGTGGGTTGAGCGACATGCCAGTTCTTCCGTGGGATGTAGAACTCAATTAGACTTTAGATCTTGACTTGGTCGCTTCATAACAGCTTCTTTTTCTGGGTTTAGGAAGGCGGCAGTGAGGAGGTAGGCCTGCATTGGGTCATTTCCGCGATAGAAAACCCATCTTTTCCGGCTAGTTCTGACTATCGAAGGGAAGCATTGTATTCTACAGACTATACTTGTACTTAGCCCAACCCACATTTCGCTGGATACATAGAACTGGGGAATCGCCGAATGGTCGGACACATCTTCATCCATGACAATACTTCCACTATTTCTGACTGTTGGAATCTTATACTCAAAATGAGGTTTCCCATTTGACAAAACACTTCACAGGGTCCACAACATCATTTCTAGGAAGATAGAAATCCCATTCGTCGCTGAGGACAAAGTTTCACCTCTCGCCTTCGGTCCATGTTAGCCGTTAGTGCGGAAGCCAGTTGGGCCATCCTGCTCTTGAAGCCCAACAATGGCTTCTTGTTGGGATATCATCCGTAATATTCACCAGGTCGCGGCCGATGTTGTGCTGCACTTGGACTTTCATATGATTAGAGGAAAACTGGAAAAAGTTGTCTCTTAGTTGGGAATGTCGGGGGCACGTGCCAACCACCCTTTCGAAGTATTTGAGGAGGGCCAATTTTCTTGTGAGGATACTTTTTTGTGAATGATCATTCTTCTTATGCTTACTCGACTCCAAAAACGCTAGAAACATTCGATAATATTGCTTCCGTAGAGACTGAACTACTAAGAAACAATTTCAATTTCGTATTCCGGATTGTAGGGTTTAAAAAAGGACCTCCCATGGAAAAACTGCTTCCTTTGCATATGAATTCATTTTGAAATTACACATTACTCAATGGTTGAACTAAAATTAACAGAAACAAGTAAACATTGAAGAGTAGGAATCATAATGATAAGGGAAACAAAAAGTTTCCAAACTTTTGACGCGCCATTACTTGAAAAAAATCTTATTTCTCAAATATGATTATAGGTTTTTGGAAATTATTCTTCCCGTCGTATTCTGAACTTGATTTTGTATGTAATATCTAAATTTGGGACAATTTCGTTATGTGTCGGCCGCGCTAGATCAAAAATAAAAAAGTTTCCAAACTTTTGACCGCTACTGTATGCTTGATCATTCCCTGTACTGAGATAAGCTTATAAAAAAGAATTGCAGAGTGAGCACCATGCAACTCTCCTTCAAGATATTAAATAAAACAATCCAAGCAACAGAAAAAACCGCCGTAAGTGTACTTTAACACTATTCCACTATTGCTAAATTAGCTCGGCACACTGAGGCTAGAAATGCCATACTCGTGAGTGGCACTGACAGCAGCACTACTGTACTGCTACAACCCCGGACCGTACCTGTGTCACCTGTAGTCCACTTATTGATATCGATTATTGAATTATGGGTTCATCGGCTCCCTCAAGCGGCGCTTTAACTTGGTAAAGATCGCTATGGCAACTTTCATAAGGAGGTTATAAGAGTTCTCACGTTAATCACAGCTGGGAACATTTCGGCTCTTATCAGCAAGTCGTCATGCACACACAACCTTTCAATTGACTTAAAATACGAGCGAAGACCGACGGCATGGCGTATACTCGACCGAAACTAAATGGCGCTGAGCGTATCTAGTTGTATCAGCGACAGCAAAGCGATGCGTACCTAAGGCATTTTGAGAGGTTTCAATGAATTTCCTAGCAATGATGTGGAAGGAATCCGGTTTTTGAGTGAAGAAAAAATTCCTCGACATTTTCTCGACGCAGATTTCTCTTTAAGTAGGAAGTTTTCGAAACAAGTCAGGCAACCATTCGAAAGAGCAATTCTTCTACTTTCTAAAACTGTCCACATTTCATTTCCCAAGCAATTGAGAAATAAGAAAGTTATCGTCTTGAAAACAGCAAAAATCCGCATGAAAATTTCGAGTTCCTCGACGTTTCCTCGACGTGGAAAATCTCACTGGATAGGGTATCTTCAGAACAACTTCAGAAGAAAGTAAAAACTGCAATCGAAGCTCTTTCAAAGCACACAACAGTTCTCTGAAAAGATCAAGTTTCGAAAAAGTTATTAAGGTTTGAAGCATAAGGGGAGGAGGCAAATTTTCGAGATAAATCGCTCCACCGCGTGAGCCGCGCCGCAGCCGCGTGAGGAAACAGCTGCTCCTTTAAATTCGGTGACACTTTCATTGTTAGTCCTATTCATCATTTTCTCCGTTCCTGTCGATCATCCTCGTGTAACGTGTGTACACGTGAACAATCGCCGCTGTTACAATAGGAGAATGTTTTGTTTTTCAGATTCCTTTGTTAATCGTAGCTTTCGCGCCGTAGTCGCTGAATAGAGGTGAGTTCTCTTAGTTTGTCATTGACACACAACTGTTGAATGAATCTTTTTCAAAGATTACTTCACTTTTACCATCGCTTTATTTGCTTTTGATCGGTTAGTGTTTTGATTTCCTGACTGGTTTTCACGGAGAGGATCTTGCCGAGACCCCGCGCTTTAGGCGGGGGTCGTATCAAAGTTGGGTTTTCCTCGACACGATTTTCATCTCGGGAGTGAATGTACATGCGGGCGAGAATGAACATCCGCACGAGAGAATGTGTCTGAACAGGAGAAAATCCTCCACGAGCCGTTGAGAAATCCTCCACCGATTTTCGCCATGCACGACACTAGCACTAATAATAGGAGGACTAGATAACATAAGGACTTTTTTAACAATGAGATAACGAGGAAATAATCCTGTTTTTAATGTTTTTTTTTTCAGGCCTATAAGGGCTCTAGACCAGGCATCACTGTTCGATTTTTTTACAGACATGGAAGATCGATCGCAGACCAGAGAAGTATTTTGTTGTAGTGGTAGCGAAACTTGGAGAATACACCGGACCTAACAGCACGGAGTTAGTAATTGATCTCAAGGAGTTAGGTAGGTGTCTACAATAACCTGCGGAAATAATGGCAGAAAAGTGGAAACCTGTGCGCTAGCTGGCTAATGTGCTGGTCATTCCGTTGTCAAAGAACGCCTCATAAATGTGACAAGGAGAGTAATAGGAAAGGCCGACAGAAATAAGAAGAATGGCTGACAAGGAAAGAAACAGGTGGTCGAACGAATTAGTACGTGGTACGGGGCCAAGCTCCCAGTAAGAGGTAGGTAAAAAAATAGCAAAAGAGAGCTGAAGTAATATGAAAAAAATTCGAAAAAAATCACAAAGTAGAAAACCAAAAAATCGAGGGCGAGCTTCGAGAATAGACTATTGGAGGAGAGGGAGCGAAAGTTAACGATGTACATACGATTGTAGAGCAACAAGGGCGCTAGGTTTCCCATTAGTGGCCATAGTGGCAGTTGAATTACCCGAAATCCAGCGTTCTTGAGTGCGCATCCTCTCTTTACAACGAACTCTTTCGCGTATTCTCGCTTCTCTGAGAGCTAAATCTTTCCGTTGCCGACCCCGAACGTAATATCTAAATCCGAAATTGTAGTGGCTTTTGAGGGATTCTTCTGCTTCCGTTTTCTGCTCTCAATCCATTCCGCAAACCTCGTCCTTCATTATTGAGCGCTCTTACACATCAACTTTATGTTTGAGCGTGCCTTTTTTAGTACTAGAGGCGCGTCATCAGCACTGCAGTCAGACATAATTCTGCAATGGGCGAATCTTATAGTCATCAGAAGGAAAGTAAGAATCGTTTTAATGCTTCTGTCTAAACGGAGCGCTGCTGGAAATGAAAGGTTCTCCAGTACTTAAGGGGGCCTTAGGTGTTAGTGTTCACTAAGTTATTTCAATATAATGAAACTGGTCCTCTCTTCTTCTTCTCCCTAGCATTAGTCCCGCGCAGTCGCAGGGTCCGCTGTTTTATCAGTCGTCGCCACTTCGCTCTGTCTAGGGCTGTCGTGGTTCGGGAGCGGTTGCCCTCCTAACCCTCCAACACGACGCATCAAGGTGGTTCGGAGCCCTCGTGGTCCTTTCCCAGGCACACACGCCATCCTACGGGTCCTTCCCGGGGACCATGCTGTTTCCCGCAAGCATGGCCTCCGCTCCCCGGGGCGTCACGGGTTCCTAACCCAGGGAAGGGGGGTTTAAGGGTCGCGGTAAGCGGTAACCCGCGGGGGCAAGGCCCACCGACGGCCCGGGCTTTCCCAGCCCAAGGGCCGAGGGCTCCCTTGCCCCGGCTACCAACCCACAACATAACAGCACAAGAAAAACCTATTGCGCCTTAGTCGGGCCCCTGCCCTGGCGCTCCCCAAACTACAACCCAACTACACTAACTACAATTAAATATACTTACATTTATTGGCGGATATCGGTAATAAGTTGACGACCTACTCTTCTTATCCTCTGCCGGGCTTGGAGATACCAAGCCATCGCGTCGTCCATCCATCGGGTCGTCGGCGGTAAGTGGCGCACTGCTGGCGCCTGCAGCCGGCAGCGTCCATCCGGTGTAGCGGACGCTGGCTTGCCAGCGCTCCGACAGGACGGGACAGTATGCCGGACCATACTGCCGAGTGCCAGTGGCACTCCGAGCCGTCCAGCTTCCTAGCGTTGCCCGGCACAACGCTCCTCCCGGAGGGAGCGAAGTGCGCCGACTGGCAGAGGCGGCTCGCTTAAGTAGTCCCGGCTGGAGGCGGGACCGGAGGCGGAGCATGCCCCTATAGTCGGTGCATGCAACGCCACGGCGCCTGCTGCACAGCAGTGCCCAAGCGCGCGGTGCGCCCGGGACCACAGTCGCGAACCGCGACAAGGGCATCTGCTATGGCCGTGATTTCACTTAGGTCCTTCTTGATTACGTCCTTCCACCTCTTCTTTGGGGTCGCTTGCCTTGCGCTTCGAAGTCCATTGCTTTCCTTATTGGGTGGTCCTGTGGCCTCCTTAGCACATGCCCATACCATCGCAGACGCTGTTCCCGTACCTTCAGCTGGACAGGGGCAGTCTGCATGACCGCTCTGACATCCTCGTTTCTGACCCTGTCCAGTCGCGTCCAGCCGCAGGCCCATCTCAGCGGAGTGAAGCTGCCTTTCGTGATTCTTGTTCAGGGGCCAGCACTCGCTGCCGTATAGCATCGCAGGCCTTACCACTGTCCGGTACACCTTCCCTTTGAGCGTTCTGGAGCACCTTCGATCGCAGAGGATTCCAGTGGACTCCCTCCATTTCATCCATGCCGCGTTGACCGTGCCTTCACTGCCTGATCCACACTTCCGTCGGCTGCCAGATCGCTCCCAAGGTATCGGAAGTCCTCCACTCTTTCGATGGTCTCACCATGGCCGTCCACGATCGGCTCTGCACCCTCTTCAGAGCTCAGGAACTTGGTCTTCTTGACATTCAGCCGGAGCCCACCTTCTGCCAGGACTTTCTGCCATTTCTGCACCTTGGCCTGTAGTTCTTCTCTGCTATCCGCTATCAGGGCGATGTCGTCAGCGTAGAGGACTTCCTGTTAGCGATCCCACGTTCACAGTCCAATTCGAACTAGCTTCTTTGGCCGAGGCCGTTCCTCCTCGGTAGCCCTCGCATACTGACCACAGAACTCGGGCGGGGGTTCTGCGCGCCACTTCCGGGTGACGTCCTAGCTTTATCACTGATTCTTTGACAACTTTTAGACATGTTGGTGTGACTGGGGTATTCATCAGCCGGCCTGTCAACCTGGGCCTGACGCTGGTACTAGAACCATTTTTGCAATTTTTGCAAGGCATGGTTAGCCTCGGCAGGGATCGAACTCGCGGTTTTTCAGAGGTGCAGACATGAGTCTAACCTCTTAACCACTCGGCTATCCCTGCTCTGTCCTATAATGAAACTGGCTCTATAATCACAAATTCATTTTAATATGTGAAGCCACACAAGGGTGGAGGGAGAGGGAGAGATCCCTCGAAAAGTAAAAAAGGTGGAGGGAGGGGGAAGTGGGAAGCAGACAAGCATTTTAGAAACAAGAAAGTCTTTCGGAAAAGTTGTGGGAAATATCGGAACTTGAAAAGTACCCGGAAGGCTGTGAATGAATATTGTGGGTCCTACGGTCCTACAGTGCCGGTATATGAATTGTTTTTATGGTAGGTCAGTGAGGGAGTCGTTGTCAGAAGCGATTTCTATAGGCTGTGAATTGGAGTAAGCACTTAACACTTAGCATACAAAAGCATTCCTCTAAATTTCAGCTCCCGACGAGCCACCGACGAACCTGAGAGCAGACGTTTTCAATCCTTTTGAGGTCTACATACTATTCGATCCGTTACCTCTGAGCAAAATCCACGGCCAAGACAAAGGTTGCAAGGTATGTGAACAATCTTTGATTCACACGCAATCAACTAGGACATGTTTGAAGTAAATCATGACTGTTCGTTGATTATTTCGCGTAAGTTCTGTTCAAAAAAGCTGTAACGTTCTAATAGGTACTATGCACAGGGTGGACAGAACTTACCGTAACATAAAAATTGCTCGTAAAAAGCAATGTGGGCGGGAACTCTCAAATTGACAACACTGTCATATTGATAAAAGGTTATCAAACTGAAAACGATGTCACTCTTCAAAGCGTCGACCTTGCTGTGCAAGCAGGTGCTGTCGAGTATCCAAGGCTTTCAAGAGCGACTGCTCGACTGATTGACGCTCTACATGCCTTCAGCACACTCCGTACAGAGCATCTCATAGGGCTTGAGTTAGGAGAGCTACGTTGCAACTTCTCCAATATGATTAGTCCCACGGTATTCTGTTAGCATCAAATTTTGAACAATTTACACACTGCGGGTGGGCACCCAATCTGCCTGTCTGTGATGCCGTGAACTTCCAATTGAAGGTCTGAAGCATCAACCGAGACTGGAGGAGTTTGGGATGATTCTCACTATCCAGCTTTGTATATCGATACAAGGTATAGCATTGGTCTAGTTGCCCTTCTTATGGGGCTGGCCCGACAACAGAATTCTCCTCATCAGGGAACCGATCGGTAACTGGGACAATGTCTTTTACATTTTTGCCTTCTTGTCACTTGGATCGCATGAGTCAGAGAGCATTTTTATGATAGCAGGCATGGTTCTGGCTCGACCTGACGAATCATCTACATACGTACTACCGGTTCAAGTTTGATATGGGGGCGCATGGGTCAAGACGTGCAAAACACACATCTGATGGGGGAGCTCCGCCCATAGTGGTAAAGCGTCGAATCGGGAGTCACCGACGGTAAAAGTCTCAATTTCCGTTACGGAATAGCAAGAAGAATGGGTAAATGGATAAAGGTGTGCACTGAGTTGATGAGCCGAAAATGGGAGACCTGCCCGCTGGGCGGAGCGCTTTATGAATGTACCGGACAGGATAAAAAAGATTTGTAACTCGGTTAGTAGAAAGCTTATTGAGTAGAAAAGAATTGCAGGAGAACATATTCGAGGTGCTCTCAACATACCCGAACTGGGCGAAAGCCCGCCTCCAAATGGTAGAGCGAGTACGAGTGGACGGTGTTAATACAAATAATCACAACTGGGATCCAAGAAGAAGAGGGATAGAAAACATCATAATCAATACAAGAAGTCATGAAGACCGGAAAAGGTGGATAGAGTATAGGAGGGAGGGGTGAGCGTCAATGGTGGGCGTGGCGTGCACCTAGCGAGCAGAGTTTGCTGCCGAACTTATAATTCGGTTTCAAGAAGTTTCCAAGACCAGGAGAAAAGTGTGTTGAGGTTGGCGAAAAGGAAGGTCAAACGTCAGTGGTGGCAGCATGCATCGAAATGAGTGGAATTTGCCACGAAAGTTCCTAGAAGCCGGAAACGAGAGTCCCAGAAGCCGGAAAAAGTAGATAAAGGTTGGCGAAGAGAGAGGAGTCAGGTGCTAATTGTTCGTAAAGAGTGCGCTGAGCTGGGCGGAGTCTGCCCGAGGCTCACAACCTGGTTTCAAAAGTCCCGCTCTACGGAAAATATTCGGTAGAGGTTGGCGAAGGGAAGGGCGTGCGCTGAAGTAGGAGGAAGACCTATACAATATTGATGTTCTCATTTTATGCCACTGCAGTCCCGTGTGCTGCACGCATTCGCGTCGTGCGTCGTTCGTGGTGCACGCGAAGGCGTGCTAGCCAAACTGCTGTTGTCTATCATTGAAAATCTTCAAATCTATCACTTCATTATATAAACCACTTTGGCGTGTCGGTTTATCGATGTGTGTGTGTGCCGTTCTGTTCGTCCAGACCAACTACCAACAGGACCGAGTTCAAAAGACTACACTTCGTGATGTTAATGTCTATGATATGATTATGATTAATGACTATGATAACACCCACAGCGGCTATATAAACACTGATCGACCCACACAGTCTCATTCTACATGGTGCTGCAGTGGCAGCTGGGGGGGCAAGAAGGGAGTGTAGAAGAGGGAGGTGTGGGAGGGGATGCAGGGAGAAAGAACATCCACTTTCAAGAGGAAAAGCTATAGCCG